ATTAAGCATGTTTTATTTGTTTCCATATTTCTAAAAATATGATATTACATTTTTTTTTCGATATAAGTTTATAACAATGCTGATAAATTTAAATTATTAATCCAAGACTGCAGAAAATTTATTGTAGACTATTATATTTTATTCATTTACTGTATCATATTTTTATATAAATTTAAAATTAAATGTTATTGTTTTAGGCCTGATAATTTCTATAATAATTTCTTTTGTATTTTTAATATCTGTCTTTAAAAGTTTACTGTCTTTCAGTGATTTATGATAGGACTATTTATTGTTATAAATATTTTTACATAGGCATTTATAATATAGTATAGGGTTTTTAATTTTCAAAGAACCGTAACCTTATAGCCTCAAAGCGTAGGCCTAGGCTTGAGAGGAGGGGTGTATTGATAAGTGCTGCGATCCCGCAGCGCGGGGAGGACCCCGAGGTGTGTAGGGCCCCGACATCTTTAAATCCCATTACCATAAATCCCCGGAGGTTCGATAAATCTCGATTTGTTATTCGCTGCGGGGAGGCCCTCAATTTTCAGGTACGCCTCCTTGCCATTAGGCCCATTATTCAAGCGTCATACTAAACGGATTCATTTTTCAAATTTTAAACTAAATTTTGATTTTTATGTAACATTAAAAGATCTAATTTTAAATATTTATTTTAATCTAAACGTTGCTACTTTATAAAAAGCTCTAAAAGTAATGACAATATACAAGCTTAATTATTAGCATGATACTGTACTTTACGTAATAAGAAATTACAGTATATTTTACACTTTTTAGATATACATTTTGTATTTTGTATATAAAGTATATAAAGTATTTTGAAAAATAAAACTAATTAAGATATTACAACACTATTTAAAATTGTAAGCAATACAGTTTATGTATTTTCACATAATCAATTAAAATTTAAAAGAAAAAATAAAAGACTGAATGTAAGCGGCTTCTACTGTACAGTACATTTATAAAATACGCCTATCATTTAGTACATATTACAAATCTAAAACACGTAAGGCCTATATTAAGAAAAAAATAGAAATAAATATGATTTTTATATTTATTATCTCAGCTTACGTAAGTTATCTGACTTAAATAACTTTAATATTAACATAAAAATTTTTATTTTAAAATGCATGAACGTAGTGATTTTAAATTCAGAGACCATTTTAAAAGAAATTTCACAGATTTTCTGGTTTTAACATTATAATTGTGCTTATGTCTAATAAATACTCAATTCAGACACACAAATGAATTAAATTATAAAATGTAAATTTATAATCAGTTTTAGATTTATTATTATAATTATTTGTTAATTTTTTTTAACTGCGTGCCATTTTTTAAAAATTTTATTTCATATCAGATTCTAATTTAATACTTCTGCAATTGACTTATTGAAAATAGATTAACAAATAAATCGTATAAAATAAATCTATAAGATTGAGCTACATTTATATTTTATACTTGGCAAAATAGAAATATAAATCATATTAGATGAAAACGATGTAAACTGTGTTAAAAACTTTTAATTAATAATTTACATTAATCTTGAGAATTTTTATTAAATTAAAAAAAATTATATATTTAAAATAGATTTTTAAAATTAAATATAAAATAACGTATATTTTAAATGTCATTAAACTTTAATAATGAGATTAATATCAATAAATTAATTTAAATACGATTAAAAAATTATATAGGTGTAACTTTATGTAGAAAATTATTTTAATATAAAATATAAATTGAAAATTAAACTTTTGATTGAATAAAATAAATTTTAAAAAATCCTCTCGAGATTTTGTCTTGTTAAAAAATTAATTAAATGAAATTATTTATTCGAAGCAAGTTAATTAATTATAATTAATTAATACTTTATTAAAGTTTTTTAAAAATAAAATATTGCAACATAATTGATATTTTATTTCATAATAACAATAGGTAATTTATAAATCTGTTGAATTAAAAGTAAATTCACAGTATCTTCACGAAACAAATAAAAAATTTTATTTTACAGAATTATGTTTAAATAAGTATATCTAATAAGATTTATTCACATAAAAAAAAAAAAGTCATTATTCCTAATTACGATCGGCATCCAGGGACGACTTTATTTTCGCCTCGAGTGACTCATCACAGATGGGGTGCTTAGCGCATGCGTAATACACATCTATCTCTTCCAATTGGTCAACAGCAAAACGTTTAGCTTCCTTTTCTTTTTAAATGAACCAATCTTTTGTTAATTTTTCATTTCTTTTCTTATTTTTTAAAAAGTTTTGCTTCTTTGAATTTATCATTAATAATATTTACTTAATCGATTTTTTATAAATAAATAGAAGAAAGAACGATTACTAAACACAAAGAATGAAGTAATTTACTCCAAAGTTAAAAAAAAGCATTATTTTTATTTCAGCCACTATTAATTATTTCAGTTACTATATAAGTGTAAAACTTCATATTTATTGAACGTATTATTTTAAACGAATTTGCTTAATACATGCAAACAGCGTTTAATTAAATTAGACATTTTAAAAAAATATATATATAACTTAGTATTTTTAATTTAACGCCTTTTGTTCATAGCATAATTTTCTATTAGTAATTACTGTATATATTTTTTCTGACTATTTAATTATTTAAAAATATAATTAATTACTGATAATCTTAAATGAGATAACATGGAATAAAAATTAAAATTTTTAAAATTATTTATCATAATAATAATTAAAAGAAATAAATTTTATAGATAACTGGGAATTACAGTTTATTTTTATTTGTTTACGTTCTAAAGATAATGAAAATATATTCTACATAAAGAGACAGTGTTGATTGTTATTATTATTTTTAATAATACTATCCATTTCAATAACGTGCTAAAACACAACACGTACTGTATGTTTGTTACTTATTTTAAAATGTTTTTCAAAACATTAAATTTATTAATTACAGAATAACGCATTGTTCATAATTATGTTGTATATATATTTATTCATTTATTTAAAATCGTAGATCATGATTAAATCATGATTAATAAATTATTACTTATAGTTATATATATATATTAACTTACAATTAAACGTAAAATGATTTTCCCTAGAAATTAAATAAACAAAAGCATTAATAAATATAAATTTCAAAACAATCAAGAATTATATATACCTTATTGTGAACAAATAAAGTTTTATTTATACTTCATTATTTAATCTTACAGATTTTTAAAGGAAAACAAATAAAATCAAGCATAATCTGAATTAATATGGTTACAATAGTGTTTCAATTAAAAAAAGTTCTAATCGATATCTAGTCTATCTACAAAATTTTTAACGTGCTAATTCAATATTTAATAATAAGAATTATAAATGTAGATCCTATTGATAATATTGGAGCAAGACCAAGTAAAAAAAAATCAATATTCAATATCTTTCAATATTGTTTTATTATTAACTTACAAGAATTTTCAAATTTTTTGTAAGCCTTTTCTTATATAAAATGTTAAAATTCTTTGCTTTTTTTATGCCCATATTTAAATATTAAAAGAAATGTTTAGACTTTTATAAATAATTTATTAACTTGCTCCGTATAGATAGCACCCACAAATGCACAGTACAGTACATTACAGTACAATGATTAAAAAAAGTTGTGTTTATTACATAATATAAATAGGATATAAAATATCAGAGATTAAAAATTAATAAATCAAATATAATATATAATTTGTCTGAAAGTTAACTAATACGTTTCACTGATTTTTAAAATTAAAAAGAGATTATATGCATAAAGCATATACACTAAAATATATCATATAAGTTAAAACTATATATTTTAACGGCTTTAATTTCAGTGTATACAAAACCATCAATTGTAAAATAAATGCCGTAAGCTATGAAATCTTTATGCTAATTAATAAACGTTAATGTGGTAAAAAATATTCCCTTTTTTATATTTAATGCAATAAATATAAAATATAAACTGATATAAAAATAAAAACAATTCACTTTTTATATGTTTATGCAAAGTTATAAAATTTCAACTTATCGTATAAATAAAATCTAATTCATAAAGTGACATTGACATAAAAACTAAATGTGATCGATAATTCCATTTAAAATAGAAATAACATTTTAAAGCTTAAACATATAATAAAGTTAACTCTCAAGTAAAAGAAAGAAAAAAAAAAGTTAGGTTACACCCTTCTGCAAGCATGAGCAAATCGAAATCTGGTTTGTATTCTAGAAGCAGAATAGGATGGGAGATATTTTAGTGGAAGCTGCTCGAAGGGTGAACATGTTTTGGCTGGTAGGCACTTAATGGTGGGTCGCCTTCCTTCCCTTCTCTGTAACGCTGTCTCTTTCCTGATGAGCGAAGTCTGCTATACAAGAAAATTACAACCACAGGACTCATTTTACAGGTCATGACTTACAGTATAAATATTGTTCCTTTGAGCTCTACTAATATAAAGGTTACCTCTATTTGGACTTTGCATCTATAAATCAAATGGAATAATATTTCTTTGTACTATTACTATAAACAAGTTTTTAAAATAACAATCGTATGTAATTTATGTGCTTATTATAAAACACGATAAAACAAATTTTCTTAGAATTAATGCAACCATAAAAAACAAATACAACGTTTTTAGATGGGATGATAAGAGAAATAAAAATTATTAATTAATATAAATTAGTAATTTTTTCTTAATTAAAAATATTATATATGGTAATAGAATATTTTGTTTCGTTAGTTTCGTCTTGCTAATCTTTTTTACTTTTGAATCGGATTATCAGAACAAAGAATTTCAGTCGTCGCCTCTACCTACTGTCCATCCCAAATCAACCCAAGTCACCTTCGAAACTAAACAATTGAACTCGTCCAACATAGAAAATCATGTCGTTTATTGGTAAATTCTATAACCAATAAGCTTTAAGCTTCTGACTATTATTAATTTGTACTCGATGCCGATTGGCTTACAAATAATTGCCATCAACGGGGGGAAGGAGCAGACCGTGACGTGTACCGTCAGAGGGCGCGCTGTCGCCCCTGCGCTATCACGTTCCGTAACTCCTCCTACTTGAGGAAAAATAACCAATCAGATGTTTTAAACAGAATCGTTTGGCGCTTCCTGAGGCGTTGTCAAGATTGTGAGGTTGAAAGGCAAAAGTAAAATTTAGGATATTTAATGGCTTACAAAGAATGTTATACATCTTACATTTATGTATAAAACAATCGAAATTGCATCTCAAACTATCTTAAATTATACAAGTAAGTTATTTACAAATTACTTATTTTTTTATGCTATTCCAAAACTTCAAATATCTTGAGTCAAAATAAGCCTAATTTTAGGCTTCGATCGTCATTGGAAGATTCAATTTGTAATGAGAAGAGAGTTTTACTATTTATATCACCACCGATCGTCTGTTTCTTTAAATTTTTATTTATAACTATTTGTTTTGTTTGTAGATTTACTTCCGCGTCACGCTTTTTGTGTAGCGCGATCTGACCTAATTATATTCTTAACTATCACTTGCTTTGACATTCCTACTCAAAGAATTTATTAACATAGCAGATTGAATCCCGAATGGATACTTTCCCACATAGTCTTGTGCTTTAATATAACTTTTTAAATCATATTTTCTAATCGAGCATTCACGTCACTTCCTATAAACGGTAAAAACATCGCTTTCAAATGCATATATTTATTTATAAAGAATACAATATAAAAATTAACGTTTTTATTTTGTACTGATCAAGTGTCAATCAATAATTATTATTATTGTTGTCTTATGTTTAATTAAGATTTTTAATATTAATTAAATTTTTGCTTATGTAAGTTATATAAAAAAAATACTTATGCCATTGCAATTAGTAAAGGATATATTTTAAATAACTAAATGTAGTAAATTAATAATTTTTTATTAAATATTACAAAGAAATATATATATATTTTTTTCATACATTTTGAGTGTTTCAGAATTATTGGATTTTTTTAATTTTAAAATATGTTTTACTTTTTTAAAATTTTATTTAAATCTCAATTCAAATCATAGTTATTTTATAACAGCATTTATTAAAATAAAAATAAATATTTTATTTTAATTTCAATTTAAATAACATACAAATAACAAACATCATGTGAAGCATTTACAGTTAACTGAATTTTGGTTTTAGATATAGAATATTATAACAATAATTACAATTACAGAAAACTGTTTTTGTTTTTAATGTAAAATGTAAAAACAAAATCTACGATTTTAAACAATATCTAGGTAATATGAGGAATTAAGTTATAATTATGTATAGTACAGTGCTTACTGTACTGTACTTATGAAAAAGACAATATCTGAGGTTTACTTATGTTGTGGTTTATTCCAAAATTAAACCTGAAATTATGAAGGTTTTTAAAGAATGATAATATACTGTAAATTATGATATGTATCTGTAGTCTTTTTACTTCTATTTTGATACAGGCAATTTTNATTTTATCTATATACTTTAGAAAGAAGTACATAAAATGTAATGTAATGTTTTGTCATACAAATCAATTAATTGTGATTTTTATTTTTTATTTTTGGAATTTAATTAAATGATTTGATTTGACTTCAAATCAATGAAAATAATGTAGAATTGGACACCTGAGTTCACTGAAATCAAAATCTTATGTCAGATATTAACTGTTTGTTTTCAAAGGCTCTTTGCTTTATTTTCAGATTATTATTCTGTAGTCTAGTTATTCCTTTCTAATTAATAATAATTTTAATAATATGGGATAGAATCTTTAGTAATAAATTATTTTTTATTAAAAATACAATATACTGTATAAAGCTATTTTTATAGTATAAAATGTTATGTAATTATATAAATTTCTTATTCTGAAGAAATTACCTATTGTTTTGACTTTTTCTGGACATGATTTCTTACTTGGTTTAACTTGATTGAATGAATTTGTAAATTGGCTGTATTTTAATTAATTTATTAAACATGTATTGATAAATAAATGTAAATAAATATTAAGCAGATCATATTCACAATTCAACCAGGCAGAATCAACAAAATGGGGTCTAAAACTGATTGAACCTTGGTTATTTCTAAAAATTTATTTATTTATTTATTTATTTATTTATTGATCTGTAAATTGGTGATATTATATTGACATGTTAATGAAATTGCTCTATTCAAAGATTAATCTACAGTCAAATATTAAAAACAGACAAAGTCAGGATTGTTCGGTCACACTATAAATACATATAGATCTTGGATTTCCTTTCACTCTAGTACAAAAATTGAACTAGTATGTATTTATACTGTTCATTGAATTTTTAATTTGTGAATGTAAGGACAAAAAGTATTTATTTTTAGATAAAAATATAACTTTTTCTATTTTAAATGAGAAACTGAAAATCAGTTACAAAAATTTACATATTTTTTCCTCTTGAAAATCAGTTTAAATGTTAACTGTTAAATCAACAATTTAGTTTTCTTTATTTCCTATTAAAATTGCAACTGTTTCTTGTCTTATCGATGTAAAAATACCTTAAGTATTTAAATTATTAAATAGATTTAATCATTTTTATTTTGGCTTATATTGTTGAATGTTTAATAATATAAGCCAAAGTAAAAACCTTAAAATTAAAGTTTCTATGGAAATAAATATATTTTTAATACTTGATTGCTTCTTGTTCTTTCTATGTTCATTGGAAAAAAAGCACAAAATTGTTATGTTGAACTTATCATACAGGAATACTAAATAAAGTCTATTCTCTTTGTCATATGTGTTTCTATATGATAAGTTCTACACAACAATTTTGTGTTTTTTCTCCAAATATATTTTTGTTTATTAGTCAGTCAGAGATTGAAATATATGTATTTAACTTATTACTTTATACACAAAGAACATTGTTTTTATGTCTTAATCAAATTTTAATATTATATTTTATCTATATACTTTAGAAAGAAGTACATAAAATGTAATGTAATGTTTTGTCATACAAATCAATTAATTGTGATTTTTATTTTTTATTTTTGGAATTTAATTAAATGATTTGATTTGACTTCAAATCAATGAAAATAATGTAGAATTGGACACCTGAGTTCACTGAAATCAAAATCTTATGTCAGATATTAACTGTTTGTTTTCAAAGGCTCTTTGCTTTATTTTCAGATTATTATTCTGTAGTCTAGTTATTCCTTTCTAATTAATAATAATTTTAATAATATGGGATAGAATCTTTAGTAATAAATTATTTTTTAGAAATTTAAGATGCCAAAAAAGGATACAATAAATTTTCTAAACATTTTTTGAGCATTTTAAGTGTTCATTGTTTGTACAGTTAGATAATTTTGTGAAATTTAAGATATCAATATCTTCAAGCTGAGGACAGAAATGACATTCGAAAAGATGATTAACAGAAGAAATACAAACAAAACATGTCAACATGTAATGTAAGAACATTGTTTTAGTGTGTAAAATTTCATGAATTTTATAATGTGCAGAACTTTTACAGTACAACTAGATGTCATTTGCATTTGAAAAGCACTGGTGACATCAAAACACATCTCATACAAGAAATTATCAATGGATATCTGACATGACCTTTAACATCATTGCAAAAAAGGAGAAAGGCCAAGGCTATTACAAATACTTAACTGCACAACACACAGGGATGAATATAAATAGTATTCACATTAACCAGTTGACCAGTGCATGTACAATTGAGAATAGAGTAGACTCTGGAAGGCTAAGCACAGTTTTTCAAAGAGACAAGAAGAGACAAAAGTGTTATTCAGATTGCTTTTTGTCCATTGACTTATTTCCTATGCTTTGTGCTAGTGCACTTTTCCTATAGATGAACTTATCAGACTGGACAGTCTGATAAGTTCATCTATTGATTGGAATACAATTATACAGGGACTTCTGTCAGTGTTTGTAGAGCTTTTGGAAGCGTTACTGTAATCATTTTTTGCAATCATCCATAATGTTGCTTCTACCTCATTTGATGACTTAAAGATCTGTATGAAAGCTGGCAGAAATATATTGTCACTCAAGAAGTGGTTGTGCATCGGTATTATAAACTATTTAAGATAAGAAACTATATGCCAAGTCCCTGAACTTTTGAGTGTACTACATATATATATATATATTCATGAATATATATGTAATACAAACCAAAAGTTCAACTGTGACTGAATGCCATTTCTGAACTCCATTCTTTGATGAGGTGCCATTAATCAAGAATTGTGTGAACAGCAAGCAATTTATGACTATCCATACGTTTCTATATTCAACGGTTGACTCAACAGTGAATTTTCCGTTGAGTCCCTCCGTTGAACGATCTGACGTCACGTTTTGCAGAAAAAAGAAACGCTTTCGTTGAGAGGTCGCTTTTCAAGATGGCTGACTTCAGTAACGAGAAGGTGGCGATTGTGACTGTTTTGCTAAATAATTAAAGTAACTCGCTTAACCATTATTCGAATAAATCCTTTTATTCAAATGAACCCGTATCTGTATCATTTTTTTGTATACTGGGTCTTTTTTTAATTAATAATTTTAATTAATTTCTTGAATATTTATATCATTAGGAAGACTTAGCGGGCCAAATATCGGTCGTAATCAATTTTGGACAAATGAAAAAATCTTTATATTTCAATATTGACCAAATTATCCAACATAATCGTGCAATCACGTGTTTTATCATATACAGATTGTTCATTAATCTGTTCGCTATTACAGCATCCACAGCAGCGAATGGATAGTTTCTATAAGCGAAATTTACTTTTTCGTGGAAGCCGCCATGTTAGTTTGTTGACTACTCAACGGTCTTTCAGGTCGTTGAGACCGTTGAGCTCAACGGTGAAACAGCGCTGACGTCACTAGTCTCAACGGAGAACTCAACGGTCCATTTAGAAACGTTGTTCTCTCACCGTTGAGTCAACTGTTGAATATAGAAACGTACGGTATTTAGTGGAAGGAGTATACTGAGCAGTTGTAAAATAATGGCCATCCAAACCAACAAATAAAAGAAATAAATCCACTAGAATTGGAACTAATTATCCTAGAGAAAGAAATCACATGAGAATTGAAACAACTAGCCAATCACAAAGCTCTAGGAATTGATGAAATACCAGCTAAACTGGTATTCCATCAATTACCAGCAACAGCAATGACATAGTTATGCGATCAGATTTGGAAAACATGTAACTGGCCAAAAGAGTGGAAAAAATCATATTCATTTCGAAAGAAAGATGATCAGAGTACTGTTTAAACT